GTAGACTTAAAAATGAACAGCAGTGCTGACCTGTGCTAACATAACCATCGACATCATAACTAACCGTTATCATAATTATTGATTATCAATACGGACAATGAATATGCCTCGATGCTCAAGATATTTTCATTCTGGAAATCTATGAAATTTTATTGGTATTTTTCATATACATTCTGAATTTTCCAATTTTCTAAAAAACATAAGAATTTTATAGACTAGACTTTTTTGTCAATAAAATGTCATTATTTAAATATTAGTAATAATTCATTTTGTATAGTTACGATAAACTTCAATAGATATTTCTACTCTGTTAAATAGAAATCTATGAAATACCGCTCACGGTTCTCTATATATTCAGATGGAATTTTTAAATCGTTAAAAAAACGATCAAATTTTATAAAGTTTTTTTTATTATACATTATCGATGAAAACTTAATGACTTAAATTATAAATTAAGAACGATCCATTTTATATGATGAATTTATGATAAATTCCTATAGATATCCATTTTGAAAAATCAGATAGCAATCTGTGAAATTTCATTCACATATTTCATATACGTTCAGATAAGTTTTACAATTCGCTAAAAAACAATAGAACCTTATTATAGACTCTCAGTGTTTTACAACACTGCCGATAGAAAAGAACGAAAGATTAATAACGATTTTATTTTTATCATTAATACATAATTGATTGTTATTCGTTAAGAAAACAGAATAAATGCTAATTCGTTATTTTACTATTCTTTTAGATACAATAGATTGAATCCGATAGAAAGAGATAGAGTTTCTATCGTTAGTTTCCAACATACAAATCTTATAGGAATCGATAAAATACAATAGGATTTATATCTGATGCTTGAAAGATCGATACAACATAGCAAATACAAATTGATAGAAATTAGATTCTTAATCGTTCTCTATCAACTTTTTTTTACCTGGGTAATGTTTTTAACATAAATAACTATATTTCGGACTATTTTGACGTTATCCAGAATGCACCACATGGAGGTATCCCTCTAGTAAAGTATCCCTCTAGTAAAGTAAAAAAATGTTTAAATAAGGAAATACAAAAAGAGGGACGTAAAGCGAACCTCCAACGTGCATCCTGGATAACGCCAAAATAGTTCGAAAGTTATACAGTAGTATTTATATGAAAATACTATAAATAACGATTGTGATTATGAAAATAAATTTTTTTTTAACAAAAAGTAGTTATAACTCTGAAACGACTTATTTTCGGACGTATATTTATTAAGAAATATATGTGCCAGTTATTTATGTATTATAATTAAATAAATATTTTACATGTTTCAACCTTACTTCATCAACATATTTTTTTCATATTAAAAATAATTTATTTATTGATATTATTACAAAAATGTTTATAATTTTACACGAACGAATATAAATTTATTTTGAAACATTTAGTAACTTGCAATTAAATTGATATTTTGTTACATGTTCCGACATTAATTATTTGTACGTAATAATGAACAGATAAATTCTATATAGGAGCAACAATAATTTCTTAATAAAAATGTCATTGCATATTGTGTGCGTCCATGCGTGTGGATGGATGGGTAGATGTGCGTGCGTGCGTGCGTGCGTGCGTGCGCGCGTGCGCGCGTGCGTGCGTGCGTGCGTGCGCGCGCGCGCGCGCGCGCGTGTGTGTGGGTGTGTGGGTGTGCGTGCGCGTGCGTGTGTGTAAGTGATATGTAAGTCGAGATATAGTGAATGATAATAGCAAAACGAATGATAATAGATATAGTTGCCCGTTGTTCCTTCTTTAAAACTGCGCGAGAACTTTCAGTTTGCAAAAAGTTATCTACGGGTTCGAATATTCAAAGATTTCTGTAGTAAGTTTAATATTTATTATAATCGAGTAGATCTCGTAAAGTCAGCAATAAGCTGAGCGTATTTATATTTTTGAATTTTTGTTATGTATACTTTATTCAAAGTCTTATATTATATTTACGATTTATCGAATGTTTATATCATAAAAGAAGAATGCATTTTAGATCAGACAAGTTCCTTGTAGTCAGTGGTATTGAACTTATTATTATTATGTATTATGTTTATCACTGTTGGATTAATTTAATTGCTTGTTTGTTGATTTAATTATGCGTGCGTGTGCGTGCGTGCGTGCGCGCGCGCGCGCGTGTGTGTGTGTGTGTGTGTGTGTGTTATAATAATCTTGAAGTTGCTGAAAGGATTCTGAGTACTTTCACCATTTGTCATATCATCATGCCTAAGCACGTGAAATATCAGTTCCGTGGTTAGTAGAGGAAAGATCCCTATTGAGATACCGAGTTCATTTTGGATAAATGTTAGAAGTCTATGAGCAAAATTTTAAAAAATATAATAATTCCCTTCATGTTGAAGGGAATTTAATAAGCTTTAAGATAACGTTGTATAAAATTTAAATTCCATTTTTTTTTTAAATTAAAGAAATATAAAAAGTGAACAAATCACAAAGTCAAAAAATTGTGCTCCTAATATGAGATGCTCCGAGAAATCGATAGTAAAACGCAAAGTATATTAATATTGCAATTAAAAAACTATATTTCATGTTTCCTAAAATGCAAACACACCCAGCGTGCGTGAAAAATGAGCATGCATAAATTAAAATACCCAAATACTCTGAGGAGAGAACTCTTCAGATAGTTGGAATCAACCATTGCAGAAATAGGCACTCAACGTTCATTCCGGTTGTCCTTTTTATTATTATTATACAATAACATTTACTCTTTAGCAATGATTTTTACTATACATAGGAGCATGGATTATTTCATATTAGAAATATCCTGGATATCTCATATTATGATTTCCTTATGGTTTTATGGTCATCAAATCTAACTTCTATAATTAAACAATTCAACATATCGTATTTTTCTTTATTAGTACGACTTTACTCTATCACTACATGAAAAATTTATTGTATATATCAAATATTTATTTATTAAATAGTACACAAGATTTAAAGTGTACTAAACTCAATGAAACTTGAAGACATCCAAATTCTAAAACCTTTTTACAATGACAACTATAGGCATGATCTAATAATAAATTTTCTACTAAATGATTTTCAATCCAAGAGCAATAAAATCATAGTGAAATCAATAAATAGCGTTTATTAATTTAACAAAAACGCCGCTATCTCATATTAGGCGTCTATCTTATAATAGGGGCTTTCCTCTAAACTTTAATCGCAATTAATTTAAAGACTGTTATAGTCTTGATATTTTCATATTAGCAAATAATATTTTATTTATTTTCGTCTTAGAATGTTCCAAAAAATCTGTTTTTAAAAGGGCGGATTAAATTGTAAAATACTCTATACAAGATGATTAAAAAAAACATTTGTTCTTGAAGTATCATATTTCTGACTTCATTCTAAGACGATTTTTCCTTTACAAAAATTTTATCTGAAATTTAGTTTTCAAATTACACGAAGAAATAACGTATCACGGTCGCGTAAAGGAGACGGACAGGAGCGGCGCTTACGATTAGACGCGAGTGCTTTATGCACAGGGCGCATACTGATCGGACCTTTATAAAAATTTCTTCTCACTTCTACTACAGTAGTATTCTACTACTATCTCTTTGTCTTTCACATAAATATGATAATTTTATTAAATTATAAATTAAAATGATGAAATTAAAATGAATATTGAATCCTTTAAATATCGGATTGTTTTTTACATTGATAAAATTATTAAAAAATGTAGTAAAAGAGCGAAATTAAACAATAATTACGTGCAGTAAGCACATAATAAAAACTATTGACGTACAAATTTATTGACATACAAATCAAAAACTTATTGATATACAAATCAAACAATTATTTCAGTATATCGAATTCTAAGAATTCGTTTCTTACAATTCGATATACCGAAAACTTGTTAGACTTAATTATATGTCAATAGGCGTTACAATAGCAATTATTGTCCAATTTCTCACTTTTACAAAAATTTCCTTAACAATTTTATCTACGCTATTGCGCTCGTAGTATTTATTACATACTTATGAAAGTCTTATGAGAAACGCGCTTCTTAACAGTCAAAGAGTTGTAAATATTTAAAACAAAATGTAAGCCAAATAAACTTTAAAAGCTA